AAGATGCTTCGGCAAGCACATACGGTCCCAAGCAATCCAGTGTATTTTTCTCAGACCAGTGTTGGAACACCACCAGAAATTTGCCATAATACTTGCCAACTGCGATAATAGGGTCTTTGGTAATCTGAAGCAAGACATCGCAAAAACCGGGAGAGCTGTTGCCACCGTTTTGAGCAGTATTTCCTTGCCTCCCTGAGATAATTTCCTCATATACCATCCGTCTAGCCTTCCTTGAGTCTTCTCTTTCAAGTAAGCTAACATCTCCACCTTTGAACCAGAGAAACATTCTGGCAACCCTAAGTACTTACTTGTACCTCCTTCATTATGAATCATGAGGATATTCTTGATGATTGCCTTATCTTCTTCCGCAATCTTTTCTCCAAAAGTGATGGCTGACTTTTGGAAATTTATCATTTGACCTGTGGCTTCTCCATAGAACTGGAGGATTCGGTTAAGCTTATGGCATTGTGACGGCACCGCCTTGATAAGGAATAGACTGTCATCAGCGAACAATAAATGATGCACCGAGGGACCCGTCTCCTCAAATCTCATACCATCGATCAGCTTATTTCTTTCTGCTACATCCAACAGGTGCGAGAACCCTTCAGAACAGAGCACAAAGATAAATGGAGACAAGGGGTCTCCCTGTCTAATACCCCTTTGAGGTTTAATTAAACCAAACGGTTGATCATTCATCAGTACAGAGAATGAAACCGAAGTAATGCACATCATAATCCAGCCGACCCATTTTTCATGAAACCCTAAAGCCAGCATCAGAGATCTCACATAGCTCCATTCAACTCTATCATAGGCCTTAGACATGTCCGTCTTAACCGCCATGAACTCACCAGAGACAGCAGGATGAACCTTAAGCGCATGCACCGCTTCATGCGCAATAATGATGTTGTCTGAGATTATTCTGTCACTCACAAAGGCAGATTGGTTTACGGATACTATCTGCTGCAAAAACGGTTGCAGACGATGGACCAAGATCTTCGAAACCACCTTGTAAAGAACCGAGCAGAGACTGATCGGTCTCAGGTCCGACATGATCTCCGGTTCAGGGATTTTGGGGATAAGGCAGATATAAGTAAAGTTCCAGTCCACAGGAAGATCCCCCGAGTCGAACACTCCTTGTATTTCCTTCGTTAAATCTTCTCCCACCAAATTCCAATATTTCTGAAAGAACAGAGCAGACATACCATCGGGCCCCGGTGCACTTTCAGGCTTGATTGAAAAAACAGCTTCCCAAACTTCCTCCTTTGAAATGTTCCTAGTTAAAGCCTCATTCATGAAAGCTGTCACCTTCGGGCGCATACTCTGAAAGACTGGTTCGTAGGACCTTGGGTTAGAGGAGGAGAATAACTTGGTGAAGTAGTTGGAGGCGACCTCAGCCTTAGCAGGGTCCGACCAATGAAGAATTCCTCTCTCATCTTTCAGTTTCGTTATATGCTTCCTTGATCTGCTCGATTTAACTGATGAATGAAAGAACTTTGAGTTCCTATCTCCCATGGACAGCCATTTGTCTCTGCTTTTTTGTCTCCAATGCATTTCTTCTTCTCTATATGCTTGTAGAATCTCCTTTTTTACCATCTGAATCGCAAAAGCACAAGGGTATGGCTTAGACTGTAGCCATTCCAGCCTTTCATGTAAGAGATTAATTTTATCTTTTGCGTTGAAGTGTCTCTTTTTTTTCCACTGACTCATCGCTCTTCTACACCTCCGTATTTTTGCAGACACAGTATTATGCCCCTGTCCTTTGCGCCAAGCAAGCTCGACCTCTTTTTTCACCTCAGTGTGCAAAATAAATCTTCGATCAAAACAGAATCTTCCTCTAAAGGATTCACTTGTTGCCCTAAGACTCACAAAAACCGGCCGATGGTCTGAACCTCTTTTTTCCAAGAATCTTTGATTGGAGCTTGGAAACAGAGAAAGCCAAGCTTTGTTCCCAAAACACCTATCAAGGCAACACTGAATCCATTTCTTCCACCTCCTTCCACTCCACGTAAATCTGTCCCCTCTGCTAATCAACTCTTCCATCTCACAAACATGGATCATATCAGCGAAAGGTTGGAATGATATCGCAGGTCTAGTAGGACCTCCCGTCTTCTCTTGATTATTAAGAATCTCATTAAAGTCACCTACCAAACACCATGGCTCCTTACGCAAGCAACCAATACGAGACAGCCGCTCCCAAACAACACTTTTCCCTTCATGGGAAGGCTCCCCGTATATACAAGAAAGGAAAAAGGAAAACTCTCCCAGATTAACAAAACAGTCGATCATGTTTTTGTCTGCCGTTAATACATTAATCCTTACATTTTTTTTCCAAAATAAAGCTAATCCGCCACTAAAACCCCTAGGGTTGACCGTAAACACATGATCATACCCTAACCACACCTGAAGATCAACAACAACATTCCTACATTTTTTAGTTTCCATTAAGAAAAGTACATCCGGAAAATGGTTTTGACGCATCTCCCGTAGACGTTGAATTGTCAAGCCTTGAGGCCGCCCCAAGCCTTGGCAATTCCAGCTCATAATGCTCATTGGGAATTGGGCAATCCCTCATGTGGGATCACCTCTAGGCAAACCGCCTTGGTTGTTGACCTTCCCTGCTCTTCCAACACTTCACACTTTCTCTTCTTGACTCCTAAGACCTGCTTTCCTTCCCTCTGATCAACCAAATCACCATGAGGTTCATTAGTCGGCTTGTTCTTCCTTGAGTTCCTCACTGCTCTGGAAGGTCTTCTACGAGGGTTAGGCTTTTTCTTGGTCACTCCGGAATTATCAGGTCCATGAGAACCCGCCTGAAACACCGTAGGGTGACTAGAAAAAGAAGCAGAGGAGTTTGAATCACTAAAATCCATTCCCCTATCTCCCTCAAACAGAGGAGAGCTTCTTGCCTTAAAAGCTTGAGTAGCCGCCGCCAGAAGTTTGCGAGGCTTGGCAATAACCAATTGTTTTTCCTGTTCAGCTATCTGCAGCCCATAGTCAAACACCAATCCTTTACCTTTGTTAAGGTCCTTCGTAACCTCAGGGGGCGCTTCCAACCTTAGACAGGTTCTCTGCACCTCCGGGTCTTTCTCAGCAGCTTTCACAGACTTGATGACTTTGTCCACCTTGATAGCAAGGTCCTCGCCTGTGTTGGCCCTCAGATATCTCCTCATCTCTTCGAGGACTTCTTCAGCAATACGAGGACGGCCAGTGAGGGGGTTGATACCAACCTGAGATTCTCGCAGCACACCAAAGAGAGGGTCATGTTGCGTTAGGACTGGGGTTTTTAACATCAACTCTTCCTGTATTTTGTTTCTTCTAGCTTTGGCTTCTTCTTGTCTTTTTTTCACCGTGAGGGGGCAAATACTTTTTTCATGGTTCAGCCTCTGACATGTGAAACATCTCTTCTGAATAGCTTCATAATCATAGTGAATCACAGTTGATTTTCCTCCACCCAAGTCAATCACTTTCGACATTCTCAAAGGATTGGCCACATTGAACTTCACTTTAACCCTAACAAAGGGCTGGGTAATAGGTTTCGACGGGTCAAAGGCCACAACAATGACTTTACCTACAATATCACCCAGCGCCGTGAGAGCCATCGTGGTGTAGTGATTAACCGGGATCTTGCTAATTTGTACCCAGAGAGGTATGTATTGCAGGTAGTCCTCCGGTGGGTTCTCCACCCATCTTTCCAAAACAATAACCCATTCATTGCAGGTTTGAACACCTTTCTCCAGCACATCCAAAAGGTCATGCTCGTTTTGAAAGATGAACTGAAAGCGCTCCTGAGATAAGGCCACTCCACGGACCCTTCCTTCCTTACCCCATTTCCTAAGCATCTTGAAGATTAGAGTAGACATCTTTTGACATTCTGGGTTTAACAGTCTACCCATGAGACTCAACTTGTTCTCCTCCGCTGAGCTGATACCAGGAACATCCGGCATCACGAACGGAGTATCTTCTTCTTCCAGATTCAGAGCCATCATGGCTCTGTCCATAGCTACAGACATTCTTTTATACCAACAACTTAAAACTCTCCTTAATTCAACTCTCAACACCCACCCACTTTATCTTAAATGTTTGAAGAAACGAAGAACAAACAGATAAGATTTTTTAAAAAGCAAGCAGAATAGGTTCTCAAACCAATGTTTTCTTTGACTTTTGAAATAAAAACGTGTTTTAACCACTTAATTGCACTCTCCAATGTGAACCTTGACTTAATCTTCTGGATAATAAACTAAAGCCCACTAGGGGTCGCTAGAGAGAAAAAACCTCTCACCTCTCACTACCGCAAACCTCAAACTTCAGTAAACCCAGATGAAAGAGTCTAAACTTGAGTTTTAAAATAGAAAACATTAAAAAGGAGCTAAGACCAAAGAAACATAAATGCCATTTTTCTTTCATCAATGTCTAAAAAGAAGTTTTCCCACCAAACAGTCAAACTTGGATCTTTGACAATTTTGTTCCAGTTCATCATGTTTCTAACTTTTATGTATTTATTAAATTATTATCTTACATGTTTTTCTGCTTCGAATCTATTTGTACCTATATATGTTTTTCACCACAAATCTGGAATATATATAAAACTTTGTGTAATGCATGATTAATGTTGTTACATTTTGACGTGATTTTGTTAATTTGTACGGATTACCAATACTTTTCCAGATAATTTGACGATGAAATAGTGATTCAGTTGTTATTAAACCAGTTTTATGATTATGAAAATGTGACAATTCTAGCATCTAATAACATTTTTTTTTATTTGCATTAGGTAGTTACCCCAAATACCAATTTAGACCTCTTAACTAACGAGATTTGACCGACAACAACATTGATGTCTATTGATCACGAAATTTCCACAAAGAGAATAGTCCTTTGTCTGCGTAATTAGTCAGCAAACTCGAGGGTGTTTATGTAATTTCCTCCCAAATAAACGAAAAATTAAATTTAAATATTAAAAAAAAAAAACACGAAAGAAGATGGCGAAGAAAACGGAAAGTGTAGAAGAGAGAGAAATAAAAAGAGAGATAGAGCTGGATTCACATGGTCTTGTTCTTTCCCTCTCTCTCTCTTCCCTTTTTCTTCTCTTCTCATCTCTCTCCACTTTGATCATTACCAACCAAACTGATTGAAACCCCCTTTGTTCTCTCTCTCTCTCACTCTCTCTTCTCTCTGTGCCTCTTAACGTCATGGCTGACGATAAGGTAAAGCTATTTTTGTTTCGTTTTTTCTCTTGTCTTCCAAGGAAGATCTTGTTTTTTTTGGTTTGTCTTTGCACAATCTACCGTTCTAGTTAGTGGTCTTTACGGAAACAGCTCTGGTCGGAGAAAACTTGTTCTTATAGTTTTGTTTTGGAGGATAAGGAATCTATAGTTAGTTGTCTTGAAGTTAAAAGAGTTTTCAAGTTCTGGGTTTGTCAAAAGTTTATTTCTTTTTGAGTTACCTGAGATCTCTGAGCTTAAGTGTTTTGATTTTGAGAATAAAGGTTTGTTTTTATTTTTTTTTGTGTGTGGACAAGATACCTAACTCATCTTTAGCTTTTACTTTGAGTAGGAAATAAAAAGAGTGATTAGTAATCTCCTGAGATGTGTAAATTAAGCATCTTTTTTTGTGTGTGTATTTATTTTGGATGTATGATTTCATGACTATCGATCTCGATCTGTGATTTTAAGTCCAAAGTTTGTACTTTAGTTGCTAGATCCAGAATTAAGCAATAGATTCATTCTTGGTTTGTTCTGTTATATGCGTTATTGTTGTGTGTTATCATTCTTCTCGCGTGACAAAAAGTATATATATTTTCTTTTTCTGCGTAACGGCTATTTCTTAAACCAATCTTTTTGACTAGTTTAAAGTTTCCTTCTTTATTCTTTTGATTCTCAGACAAGCATTATGCTTTCTTTAGCTTTTGGATTCTTAACTGGAATCAATGTTTTTCTTGCTGACCTTACAAGCTTCCTTCTTACAGGAGATGCCTGCTGCTGTAGTTGATGGACATGATCAAGTCACTGGTCACATAATCTCCACCACTATCGGTGGTAAAAATGGCGAACCTAAACAGGTAATTTTTAGCCTTTACCCAAACATCATATACTTCTTTTCTACAATGTTTTGATTGATGTTTACTTGTTCTTTTGTATAGACAATAAGTTACATGGCGGAGCGAGTTGTTGGTACAGGCTCCTTCGGAATAGTTTTCCAGGCGAAGTGTTTGGAGACTGGAGAAACCGTGGCGATAAAGAAGGTTTTACAAGACAGGAGATACAAGAACCGAGAGCTTCAGCTGATGCGTGTGATGGACCATCCTAATGTGGTTTGTTTGAAGCATTGCTTCTTTTCAACCACAAGTAAAGACGAGCTGTTCCTTAATCTGGTTATGGAGTATGTCCCTGAGAGCTTGTACCGAGTTCTTAAACATTACAGCACTGCTAATCAAAGAATGCCACTTGTTTACGTTAAACTTTACATGTACCAGGTAACAAGACTCTTCTGTTTACAACATTGATGTGCATAGACATGTTCTTGTTCCGATATTAATACCTTTTTTTGTTGTGTCAGATCTTCCGGGGACTTGCTTACATTCACAATGTTGCTGGAGTTTGTCACAGAGATCTAAAGCCTCAGAATCTTCTGGTATGTGCTAACACTCTTGTGTGTGTGTTTTATACTCTTCTTTCTTTGTTTGCTAATCTGTCTTTTTCTACAGGTTGATCCTCTTACTCATCAAGTCAAGATCTGTGACTTTGGCAGTGCTAAACAGCTTGTAAGATTTTAAGACTTATAAACTCTTTCGACTTGAAGTGTTGTTTTGTTTCATGTTGATCTTGTCATTTACTGATGAAACTTATTTTTGCTTTAGGTTAAAGGTGAAGCCAACATCTCTTACATATGTTCACGATTTTACCGTGCACCCGAGCTCATATTTGGTGCCACGGAATACACAACTTCCATTGATATCTGGTCTGCTGGTTGTGTTCTCGCTGAGCTTCTTCTTGGTCAGGTAAACCAATTTTTTTTTCACTAATCATTCTCTTCTGTTTCCCTTGTGACTCATTGTAAGGATATCATGTTCCTATGAATGCAGCCATTATTCCCTGGAGAAAATGCTGTAGATCAGCTCGTTGAAATCATCAAAGTAAGAATCTCTATCAATAATATCTGTTCAAATCACAATTCATTGCTACAAATCCTCATTGCTTTAAGTTTTTGAGAACAGGTTCTTGGTACACCAACACGAGAAGAGATCCGTTGCATGAATCCACATTACACAGACTTTAGGTTCCCACAGATAAAGGCACACCCATGGCACAAGGTTTGCTCTTTTCTCCTTTCTTACATCCATTCTTGTCTCAGTTTGCTTGCACATCACACATCAAACATAACCATATATACTCTCTTTTTTATTTAGATTTTCCACAAGAGGATGCCTCCAGAAGCCATTGATTTTGCATCAAGGCTGCTTCAGTACTCTCCAAGTCTTAGATGCACAGCGGTGAGTGTTGTTTGCTCTTGAAACCTCTTCTTTTCTCTAATTGAAAATGCTAAATAGTATTTTTTTTTTGTTTGTCTGCTAACTTCAGCTTGAAGCTTGTGCACATCCCTTCTTTGATGAACTAAGAGAACCAAATGCTCGTTTACCAAACGGACGGCCTTTCCCGCCTCTCTTCAACTTCAAACAAGAGGTAGCTGGAGCTACACCTGAGCTGGTCAACAAGTTGATTCCAGACCATATCAAGAGACAGCTGGGTCTAAGTTTCTTGAATCAGTCTGGAACTTAAGACCATCAAAAGACAAGAACTTTTTAATGTATAATGTACCATTACTCAGAGCCAGAAGGTTAGTTGAAAAGAAACGTGGAGGACAACACAGTTCTAAGTTTTGCCTCTATCAAGCTCGTTCCAAGAATGTTCCTTCTAAGAGACGAGTTTGATGGTGAAAAAGACAAGCTTCTATGTAACATTGTTCCCACAAAATCTGCAAGGAAAGCTATTCAGTTGTATCTTCTTACTCTTTTTAAGTTTAAAAACAAAAATCTCCTCTTTTGCTTTATTATTTCTGCATCTGTAAATGAGTTTAGTCAGAGATTTTTATATAGTAAAGTTTGAGCAGAAGGTGAAAGAATCTTTAGTCAAAGAGATCCAAAGTCTTTACCAGAAGAGGAAGACTGGAGTTTCTGTAGATTAAGGTGTTGCTCTCTATTTTTTTTTGTTTTCCATTTGAATATTTTGTTGTTATTACCAAATTTTATGAAATGGTTTGTTTATGTCTTACTTTCTTACAAAGACAAATCTCTTTCTGCATTAAGAGAAGCTCTCACCCCACCTATGAGTTTGTAACAAAATTTCTATAAATGCTCATTTATAAGTTTTTTCTGTGTCTTATACTTACTCTTGGTTGAAAGAACATTAATCCGTTGTAGTCTAGCTGGTTAGGATACTCGGCTCTCACCCGAGAGACCCGGGTTCGAGTCCCGGCAACGGAGCTTTTTTATAATTTTACAATAATTTTTGCCCTAAGGCTAAGGGTAGATTCGTCATAGACTAAACCCTAAATCGCTTCATATAATTGCCAAACGCTGCCGTCGCTATTCGTCTGCCACACTCTCTTCTACTCATCTCGACTCGAATTTGCATCCCTTCATCCTAAGATGGTACCTTAGATTTTGACTTCTTGCTTATTCCTACATTCGAAAGATTACGTTTTATGAGGTTTAATACTCTTTTTTCTTGTGATGCAGGCGTCAGAGAAGAAGCTCTCGAACCCTATGAGGGACATCAAGGTTCAGAAGCTCGTTCTTAACATCTCTGTTGGTGAGAGTGGTGATCGTCTCACCCGTGCCTCCAAGGTTCCTTCTTTACTTCTCCCATAGATAATAACACTTCATTAGAAAAGTTGCGAAACAGAGGATAAAGTTTGAGACTTTACTCTTTAGCATCACTGAAAATGAATTTAGCCATAACAAATGGTATAAAGCCTTGATATTTGGATAGTTTATTTTCTCAATATGAATAGAGAGTTTTGGTAATTTTGTAGGTGTTGGAACAGCTAAGTGGTCAAACCCCTGTCTTCTCCAAGGGTATGTCTGAACAACATTCTGTTTAGAGTGTCTTTTTTATGTTTTGTAGCTGTAGTTTTTGAGGGTCTAAAATGGTGTTGATTTGTAAACAGCGAGGTACACTGTGAGGTCTTTCGGTATTAGACGTAACGAAAAGATTGCTTGCTACGTCACCGTGAGAGGAGACAAGGCAATGCAGCTTCTTGAGAGTGGTTTGAAAGTTAAGGAATACGAGCTGTTGAGGAGGAACTTCAGTGACACTGGCTGTTTTGGATTCGGTATCCAAGAGCACATTGATCTTGGAATCAAGTAAGTGTTTTTGATTTTTGAGGTTCTTGAAACAGAGAAATGACGTCTCATGATTTTGTAACTGTTTCTTAGGTACGATCCTTCTACTGGTATCTATGGAATGGACTTCTATGTTGTTCTTGAACGCCCGGGTTACCGTGTTGCACGTCGCCGTAGGTGCAAGGCTCGCGTTGGTATTCAACATAGAGTTACAAAGGATGATGCCATGAAGTGGTTCCAAGTTAAGTATGAAGGTGTTATCCTCAACAAGTCTCAGAACATCACTGGTTGATAAAAGTTTTGTTTTTGTTTTGAGTGGTGTTTGCTCTCTGTTTCAAGTTGTTACATTTACGATTCTGGATGATAAGTCTTTCTTGTTGTGGTAGAATCCTTAAGTATTCTCGAGATATGAACAAGTTTTTGGAGGTTATCGTTATCAATTTTAAACTCTTATCTACTTTAAACAACTCCAGAACATAACTGTGTCTCTGATTAGGTCTAGAATGTGGACAGAGAATAAAAATCAGGACGATCTGATTAGGTCTAGAATCTCACTCTTCTTTAGCTTTGAGTATCCTTTGAGTCCTCTGTTCTTTGCAACTTCTTTAAGCTCTGCAAGTTTCATAGTTTCAATCAATGGAGGATTCTCTTCCTTTTCTGCATCTTCCAAAGCTTTACTGCTCTTTGTTATTGGAAGCTTACCTCTTGGATCTGAAGCAGATGGTCTCGTGGAAGATCTCTTGGCAAAACTAGACGGTGGCCGAGCTACTTGTCTCTTTGACGGCTCTTTCCTTACACCAGCATCTCCTACATTTCACAGGAGTCGAAATATATAAATTAACTGCTAGAAGCCTAGAACATGGACACGTAATTCAACAGAGAACCGGTGGATTACCCTCAGTTTTTGTTCTTGGTTTCTCAAGAACGTCAAGAATAGCTTTACTCAGCGACTCATCTCCATAGGACGCATGTCCGTTCTTCTCTTCAGCTCCCTGAGATTCTCCTTTGGAGATGGAAGCTTGAATCCGACTGAGGAGAGAAATGATCTCCTCTTGTTTGGATTTACTCGGTGGGCCTGAGCTCTGTTCTTCATCAGACGGATTCTTGCAACAAAAAACATATCCTTTCTTGGATCTAGTCAGAGAGGAAGACCAAGCCTTTTCTCCAATCAAGCTTCTTCTATCACCAGACCTCGGCGAAAGAGAATCTGCAATCTGTCTAAATTCAGTTAAGCTGCATAGGAAAACTGGTCTTCTCAGCTCCTAATCCTCTCTCTTTAAGATAGCTACATGCATTGAAACAACCCATAACCCTACAGAAACATGTTCTCTCTGTAGCAGTAGCGAAATTATGATGTTGTAAGAAGAATCAATTACCTCGAACAGGAACGTGACTGACTCTCCTGAATCCTTGTTTGATAAACGAAGGAAAATGAAGAGCCAAGTCCATAGCTTTAGTCTTTTCCCTGATAAATCTTCTTATCAAACGATGCAAGTGAATCGTAGTCTCTCCACTTGATTCTCTCTTTGGCCTCATTTCCACACAAGAAGCCAAAACCTTTATATGTCGGGTCCATTAACAGCTCTTCAGAAATTTGTGGACCGTAAGTTGCTAAATACTTAAAACTTTAAAACATCACTTTTCACTTAAAACTTATTATTACTGAAGAGAACCTTTTTCTTACAGAAGCTTATTAGATCAGACCCAACTCTTTCCCGCGTTTTATCATCTCATGAGCAGAAGAGAAAGATAAGACCTGGCGATGTTGTCGGCGAATTTTCCTTCCTCAAGCTTTAGCTTCGACCTCTCTCGCCGCTCTCAAACCCACAAGGAAACCACAACCGTCACCAGACTCCGAAAAGACAAAACTTTCATTAAATCATCGTTGAAAACCCTCTCTACCGAACACAAAGATCATCAAACAGACACCAACACTCGACTCCGTAGACTATGCGAATCACGCGACCTACCCAACTCCATCAAACTCCTCCACCTATCCCCAAAACACGACATCGACCCGAGAACCCTCTGCTCTCTTCTCCAACTCTGCGCAGACACAAAATCACTCAAACACGGCCAAAAAGTCGATTCCTTTATCCGTCGCAACGATCTCCTCATCGATTCAAACATGGGTTCGAAACTCGCGCTAATGTACACAAACTGCGGAGATTTGAGAGAAGCGAGACGAGTGTTCGATCAGGTGAAGATCGAGAAGGCTCTGTTCTGGAACATATTGATGAACGAGTTTGCTAAAGCTGGTGACTTTATCGAGAGTGTTGAGTTGTTTAAGAAGATGATGGGCTCTGGTGTTGTGATGGATAGTTATAGTTTTTCGTGCGTTTCCAAGAGCTTGAGGAGTGTTGACGGAGGAGAGCAGCTTCATGGGTATGTGTTGAAACTAGGGTTTGGGGAGTGTAACTCAGTGGGGAACTCTCTGTTGGCGTTTTATTTGAGGAATGGGAGAGTTGAGAGTGCGCGGAAGGTGTTCGATGAAATGACTGAGAGAGATGTTATTTCGTGGAATTCTATGATTAATGGGTATGTGTCTAACGGGTTGATAGAAGAAGGGTTATATATGTTTGTGGAGATGTTGTGTTCGGGGATTGAGTTTGATTTAGCTACTTTAGTTAGTGTTTTCGCGGGGTGTGCTGATTCTTGTTTAGTCTCTTTAGGTAGAGCTGTCCATGGTGTTGGGGTGAAAGCTTGTATGAGTAGAGAAGATAGGTTTTGTAATACGTTGCTTGATATGTATTCGAAATGCGGTGATCTAGACTCTGCTAAGGCTGTGTTTAGGGAGATGAGTGATAAAAGTGTTGTGTCGTATACTTCTATGATTGCTGGTTACGCTAGGGAAGGTTTGGCTGGTGAAGCTGTGAAGTTGTTTGCAGAGATGGAGGAAGAAGAAGGGATTAGTCCTGATGTGTATACCGTCACTGCGGTTTTAAGCTCTTGTGCTCGTAATCGGTTGTTAGAGGAAGGTAAGCGAGTCCATGAGTGGATAAAGGAGAACGATATGGGGTTTGATATCTTTCTATCGAATGCTTTGATGGATATGTATGCTAAATGTGGAAGCATGCAAGAGGCGGAGTTAGTTTTCTCTGAGATGCCTGTGAGAGATATCATCTCGTGGAACACTATTATTGGTGGCTACTCAAAGAACTGTTACGCAAATGAAGCTCTAAGCCTGTTTAATCAGCTCTTGGAAGAGAAACGGTTTGTACCTGATGAGAGAACTGTTGTGTGTGTACTTCCTGCTTGTGCAAGTCTCTCTGCTTTTGATAAAGGGAGAGAGATCCACGGTTACATCATGAGAAACGGCTACTTCAGAGATAGGCATGTTGCTAATTCCCTTGTGGACATGTACGCTAAATGTGGAGCGTTGTTACTTGCACGTTTGCTCTTTGACGAGATTGCTTCCAAGGATCTTGTTTCTTGGACAGTGATGATAGCAGGATATGGGATGCACGGGTTTGGGAAAGAAGCGATCGCTCTTTTCAATCAAAAGAGACAAGCAGGTATAGAGCCTGACGAGATCTCATTCGTCTCTGTGCTGTACGCTTGTAGCCATTCAGGACTAGTGGATGAAGGGTGGAGATTCTTTAACATCATGAAACATGATTGCAAGATCGAGCCAACGTTAGAACATTACGCTTGTATTGTCGACATGCTTGCAAGAACAGGGGACTTGTTAAAAGCTTACCGGTTCATCGAGAACATGCCGATTCCTCCAGATGCTACGATATGGGGAGCGTTGCTGTGTGGATGCAGGATACATCATGATGTTAAGCTAGCTGAGAAAGTTGCAGAGAGAGTCTTTGAGCTTGAACCAGAGAACACAGGATACTATGTGTTAATGGCGAACATTTACGCTGAAGCTGAGAAGTGGGAAGAAGTGAAGAGGTTAAGAAAGAGGATAAGCCAACGCGGATTGAGGAAGAATCCAGGATGCAGCTGGATAGAGATAAAGGGCAGAGTTAACATCTTTGTAGCTGGAGATAGCTCACATCCAGAGACAGAAAACATTGAAGCTCTTTTGAGAAGAGTAAGAGCTAGAATGAGAGAAGAAGGGCACTCACCGCTGACTAAGTACGCGCTGATAGATGCGGAAGAGATGGAGAAGGAAGAAGCTTTGTGTGGTCATAGTGAGAAACTAGCAATGGCGTTGGGGATACTCACCTCAGGACATGGAAAGATCATAAGAGTTACCAAGAATCTAAGAGTGTGTGGAGATTGTCATGAAATGGCCAAGTTCATGTCTAAGTTAACCGGAAGAGAGATTGTCTTAAGAGATTCAAACCGGTTTCATCATTTTAAAGATGGACATTGTTCTTGCAGAGGCTTCTGGTGAAAACTGAACTAGCTTCATGTAATAATAATAAATGGTACTTACCGAGACGGTTTATTGTTGGACCGTTGTTGATTTAATCATTGAAACTGAAGTAATAGAACATGAACAGGCTGGAGCCATACTTCATGATAGTATCATTGCTTCAAAGGGAAACATAACCTCGTTATTTTATTTGCTCCATTTGGTTATTACTTTATTTAGCTTATAATATGGTAAGAACCAATGACAAGTTTAATTTGATTTTGTTCAACTAAACCATGTTCAACCGCATGTGCAGCATTGTATAAACTAAACTATTGATAGAAAGAAATAATTCAATATATCATTACAAAATAATCCTTTTACAACATACAACTCAACCAAAGTAAAATAGTAAGAAAGGAATAAACTAAACCGGGATTGGTTCAGTTATTCTCCAAAGAATCACTATCCTCTTTCTTCAACTCTAAACCACTCTCAAAGAGTAGACCTTTTTTTACTATATTTTTTTTACTGTATCAGTAAAAAACAACTAGCCTTCTCTTGAATCAACCACACCATTTCGCAAGAAGGATCAAGAAGATAATCAAGAACACAAGCGAAGACAACCCAATAGCAACACCAAGCACAACCTTATTAGGACCATGATGCTCCTCCTCCCCCTCCTTCTTCTTCTTCTCACTACTATCATCCTCACTATAATCATAATCAGAACTCGAATCCTCCTTCTGCGGCGGCGGAGACAAAGGCAAACCATGCTTATCACACGCAGCAATACCCAACTTCATCTTCGAAGACAACACACTATGATTATAACAGAGATCACTGTTTCCACCCACTTTAAACACTTCAAGCTTCTTAATAAAACTAACATTAAAAGGAAGAACTCCACGTAAGTCATTATTAGCTAAATTCAAGTGCTTGAGACTCTTCATCTTGGAGATAAACCTCGGAACGGTGCCGTTTAGTTGGTTCCCGCTTAGATCTAAATGAGTAAGGTCACGAATCGACGAGATTGAATCTGGGATCGGTCCTGAGAGCTTGTTCGAGGATAAAGATAAGTTCTTTAACGAGATTAGGTCGCCGATGGTGTCGGGTATCTCCCCGGAGATCGAGTTAGACGACAAGTTTAGACCTTTTAGGTTTTGGAGGAGAGTAATCGAATTGGGTATCGATCCTTTGATGAGATTGTTGGATAAATCGATGAATGTGAGATTGGAGTGGAATGATTTAGGGATGTTTCCGGAGAGGTTAGCGTGGGTGATTGTTAAGGAGACGATGTGGCGCATGTTTCCGAGGATGACGAAGAGTCCGGACGTGGAGACGGGGACGGAGGAGACGGTGAGGTCGGTGAGGTTGACGAGGCGAGAGAGGGAGAGTCCGGAGAGGTGGGGGAAGGAGGAGACGGCGGAGAAGGAGTGGAGGGAGTTTGGGAGGTGAGGAGGTGGGGGGAGGTGAGGGCAGTTGTGGAAAGAGAGGGAGGTGAGGGAAGGGGAGAGGGCTTTGAGAGCTGTGGAGGAGAGGGAGAGGGAGGTGGAGCAGTTTGTGAAGGAGAGGGATGTGACGAGGCGGAATGGGGAGGCGGTGTTGCAGGTTATGGAGGTGGAGGGAGGGTGGTGGTCGCAGGGGTTTTTGAGAGTGGGGATGTTGAGGGATTCGAGGGCTTTGAGTTGTTTTGGGTCTAGTGGGGAGGAGGAGGAGGTGTGGGGGGGAGTTGGGGAGGTGGTTGGAGAGGGGGATGGGGAGAGGGAGGGAGTGGAGAAGGTAGTGGCTGAGAAGAAGAGGAGGAGAAGGAGGAGTAATGGTAAGGGGAGTGTCATGGTGAAGAGAGAGAGAGAGTGAGAGATGGGAGGAAGGAAGTGTCAGAAAGTGAAAAGAGAAGAGAAGAAGAGAAAGATTGGATTTTTCAAAGATGGGTCATGTGACAGTTGGGACTGTTAATAGTTTAGTCTTGTGTTTTGGTTTTAATTACGGTTTGACCTTCATCTTTTTTTCTTCTTTCATGAATTTTGTTTTTTTTTTGGTGCACTAGTGTGGAACTATTGTTCTAGATAGTGGTGATTTTCTTTATAAAAAATGTTCCAAAAAGAGATATAGTGATGCTTTTGTTGTGTTGTGTGATACCATTTGGGATTTTCTGACGAATGTAAATGGAGAATCTGATAAAACAAAAAAATATTTAGAGTACAGAAAAAAGAGAATAAGAGAAGAAAATAGTAGAATGACCACTAACGAAAATCAATATCAATTTTGTTCAAAAAAAAAAAAATCAATATCAACAAAAGAGGATTATTAATTCTCAAAATGTGGATGACAACAAAAATTCCTAAGATTTTAAGGTTTTGTTAAAATAGGATAGGATATAAACTTGTAAGAATCATTACAAACCAAAATTTTCTACTTGCTTTGCATTTTCTTTTCAGATTTAACATAAGAAAAGAATACAAGGTTCTCGTTACCACTAAATGCGATACAACCTGAAGATTTAATTTATGCACTGGACTGGGATCGTGTAACGACTGTCTATTGATTTTACTTTTGTAAAAGAAAAGTTCATCGATACTAGCACCAGTCCAGTCCTTATACATTGAGTGGCGACAAGAAGAATATCATAGGAATCATCTTTTCATTTTTGTAAACCCCCATACATGAATAAATAACGTTCTTGTAAAAGTTTTGGAACAGAACTCAAATTTGTGAAGAAAGTTACATGAATATACTATAGGAATCATCTTTTCATTTTTGTAAACCCCATACATGAATAAATAAAGTTCTTGTAAAAGTTTTGGTACAGAACTCAAATTTGTGAAGAAAGTTACATGAATATACTATATTTATATAGCTCATGCAGGTTAACTAAAAGCTGAAATCAACATACTAAATTAATAGGTTTGGTGGCAACAACCTTTTTTAAACAAATTATTAGTTCTTTTATATTAAAACAGAAAAAGGAAGAAAACAATGCTTAGAGTTTTTTTGTGTTTATAAAAAATATGCCACAAGTTATATATAATTTATAAATATGGTCAATTTTAAACATTATGTTTATTTTCTAAAACTATCACTACAAACCTTGAAATTCCAAAATTACAAGAAAATGTTGATTTAAGCAAATGTTAACGGACTGACTATTAGCATTTCCGTTAATGTTGATTTAAGCAATTTAAAATAATTTAGGCAATTTAAGAAATCTCACTTAATATAGTTTTTATATGAAGTTGCACAACTCATCAGCTTATGATATCCTAGACTGTCTAAAGTTCGTGAATTGTGTTCTCTTTACGTTCATGAATTTGTTGTTTGCTTTGATATAAGGTATGCTTTCAATTATATGTTCTTCTTTGAACCGCAGACATTTATTTTCCTGTGCTTCTGGTGCAGACAGAAGATAACAGTCGATGACTTGTGCTTGAAGTAACCATGTGGTCTAGGTTTCTGGGCCATTCATGAGACCCATGTTTTAGGTTTCAAACCCATCAATTAAGTTATCAAATGATTCTATTCTGTAAAACAAAATAAAAATGCAAAATCTAGCATAGAAGATGCAATTCTATTCTTACGTTAAACGAAGATATTTATGTTCTTGAATCCATTCATTAGCTAAATGGTCAAACACTCTTTATCATTAAAATGGTTATTTCAATATTTTGTTGACTCAATTTATATTTTTTTGTGGGAAGATTACTAAACACAACTACATCAATTTACAATAAATGAATTATTAACACATTACAAGCTAGATTAAATTCGTACTAGCGTTTTCACAAACATTCAACTATGTTTACCCCAAATTCAACAACACCCAATGTGTAACGTCAGAGAAGCTTTATCTCATAAAGTATTTTCTTTACTTGAATTTCAATCTATTTAAATTTACAACAAAATTATACAGCTTAAGAAATTTTAAAAGGAGAAAGTTAACTTCAAGTGTCTTGAACTCTTTATTACAAAAAAAAAAAGTGTCTTGAACTATACCTAGTACTCTAAATACGCATATAATTTTTTTTTCCCACAGTGTAACTAAGTCTAAATTTTGAAATCAATTTACTGATTTTTTTTTCTTATTATTCATGTTAAGGCATGATAAAAAAAAATTCTTAAGTATTTGAGAATTAATTAATTAAATAAAGTAACATTAATGCTACCAACAAACTCCAAACGTTAGAAATTTATTAACAAATTAATACCTATAGTAAAAACACACAAATTAAATATCTTTCTTTCTTCTCTACTTACAAATACGAGAAAGAACAAAGCAAACACAAAAAACGCAAAACACTTCACCTTTTTTTTTACTAATTAATTAGTTTTTTTTTCTCCTCTTTCCCAAAAATATGGAGAATTACGTCGACGACAGTAACTTTGCTCCTCTGAACCAAACCATCTTCACACGTGATCAAGAACATATGAAAGAAGAAGATTTTCCATTCGAAGTCGTTGACCAATCAAAGCCCACAAGCTTTCTTCAAGACTTTCACCATCTTGATCATGACAACCAGTTTGATCATCATCATCATCATCCTTATCATCACCATGGCTCTACATCTTCAAATCCTTTGCTCGGTATGCAAACAACATCGTCTTGTGTCGATAATGTTCCTTACCAGCATTGCTCTTACCAAGAAAACATGGTCGACTTTTATGAAACTAAGCCACAGTTGATAAATCATCATTTCCAAGCTGCCGAGAATCCTTACTTCACACGTAATCATCATCATCAAGAGATCAACTTGGTCGATGACCATGATCCTATGAACTTGGAACAGAACAACATGATGATGATGAGGATGATCCCTTTTGATTATCCTCCTACAGAGACCAACAAGCCTATGAACTTCCTGATGCCAGATGAAGTTTCATGTGTCTCTGCTGATAATAATTCTTATAGATCCATGAGTTTCAATAAGACCAAGCCTTTTCTGACAAGAAAGTTGTCTTCATCCTCGTCTTCATCATCATGGAAAGAAAAGAAGAAAACAACAGTAGTCAAAGGACAATGGACTGCTGAAGAAGACAGGTTCTTCATTAACATAATAAACCTTAAGATCAATATTGCATAACCAAGATTACTAACAAATCTTAGATAAATTGTCCCATTTGTGAGTTATTAGTTAGATTAAATTTTTTTTTTTGCAAACAATAATTATACTAAACTAATTTAAGGTAGAACCCGATTTAGAAAACCAAATCGGTGGAATATAATCAATATAAATCATAGCTGATGGAAAACTCTGAACAACTGCTTCTTGTTTAATGATTTGACCGCTCTGTTAAAATAATGAAATGTTATCAGCTATATAAAAACATGTTTTCTTGAATAATAGGGTACTGATTCAACTTGTGGAGAAATATGGACTGCGAAAATGGTCACATATCGCACAAGTGTTACCAGGAAGGATTGGGAAGCAATGTAGAGAGAGATGGCATAACCATTTGAGACCTGACATTAAGGTATTAACTAAGATTCATGTAATGATGCTTATGGAAACTAAAGACCAAATACAGTGTTGAGAGATAATGCATATATGTATATGTTGTAGAAAGAAACATGGAGTGAAGAAGAAGACAGAGTGTTGATAGAGTTTCATAAAGAGATTGGAAACAAATGGGCAGAGATTGCCAAAAGACTCCCTGGAAGAACAGAGAACTCAATCAAGAACCATTGGAACGCGACAAAACGAAGACAGTTCTCTAAGAGAAAGTGTAGGTCCAAGTATCCAAGACCTTCTCTGTTGCAGGATTACATAAAGAGCTTGGATATGGGTGTTTTGGCATCTACATCTGTTCCTGCAAGAGGTAGACGCAAAGAGAGTAACAAGAAGAAGGAAGTTGTGGCCGTTGAGGAGAAGAAGAAGGAGAAGGAGAAGGAGAAGGAGAAGGAGAAGGAAGAGGAGTTTTACGGACAAGACAGGATTGTGCCTGAGTGTGTGTTTACTGATGATTTTGGATTCAATGAGAAGCTGCTTGAGGAAGGATGTAGCATTGACTCGTTGCTTGATGACCTGCCTCAGCCTGACATTGATGCCTTTGTTCGTGGAATCTAATTTGCATTGGATTTTTTCTTTATATTTCAGTTTTTTGGTTTTGGTTATTTCATATTGACTGAATTTTAGGGCGGTTTTTACCGTCTTTTTTCTATCAAATTTCCACCAGTTTTGCCAATAAGACCTCAAAATAAGTTGCATTGTTTGAGTTTACATTTACATGTTATGTAATAACGTGTTCCTTTCAAATGAAAATGACCATTTGGTGCAGTTTTTCTATGTAATCAGTTAAACTGGTGTTAACCAATAATCAATTAAACTTAACCAAATACCCAATTTAACCAATTTTTTCATAAAATTGGTAAACATCAACTTTGAAACTGAAACCGAAATTAACTGATAACCAAACAGAATCGAAATGTTATTCGGCTAATTCTGAAATTGGTTAATTTCGGTTAACCAAAGACCAAAAATTCAGTTTGGTTTCAGAAAACCGAAATCGCAGGGTAAACATAACCATCTAAGTGACCAGAAGGTTCAGAATTAGCCGAATAAATATCGGTTTAAAGATTTTTTTCAGATTGAATACTGAATAAAAAATCAAGGTGAACAAACCATAGACTAAAACCGGTTAAATTACAAAATCTTTTAACCAGTACATAACCAGACCAAAGCTAAGCAATTCTCAAGCAAAGCAAATCAAAAGCATAACATAAGATTTGTTTCCTAAAAGCAAAAACATCATCAAAAGAATTTTTTGAATGTAATAAAAAAAGAACGACCATAGCTTTGAAGAAAACAAAGCAAATCCATAACAATCTGCAAGCAAACTAACGAGTCTATTTAGTTAGAGCAGCAACCAGTTTTCTTCACAGCCGACACATCAATATCAATCTTCTCCCCTTTAGAAGGAACATTACCAGAATCATCACCAGCCTCCATCGCTTTCTTGCTCACAACTTGATGAATCTGAGTGAGCACTTCAGAGAAAGCATTCTCAACGTTAGTAGACTCGAGAGCTGAAGTCTCCATGAAGTAGAGTGACTCATTCTCGGCAAAAGACTTAGCATCTTCTGTCTGAACCGCAATAAGATGACGAAGATCAGATTTGTTCCCCACGAGCATGACAACTATGTTTGGATCGGTATGGTCACGAAGCTCCCTTAGCCATCTCTCAACGTTTTCGAATGTGGAGTGTCGTGTAACGTCGTAGACGAGGAGGGCACCAACAGCTCCTCTGTAGTATGCACTAGTGATTGCTCTGTACCTAATCACCCCCAAAACGACGTAGTTTCGCATAAAAATGAAAACTTTAAATCATATTCATGGTTCTAAGATCTAAAAAGACAGATCTAAAGCTCTTCAGACAGAACAACAAAGACATCGAATGTAAGAGTGTTCTCAACCTAATCTAGAGTAAAAAAGATTTAAACTTTAGATTTAGTTATTGAGGATCCGACAAGAAGTAAGTAGAGATCGAGAAGTAAAACCTTTCTTGACCAGCAGTATCCCAAATCTGGGCTTTGATGACTTTGTCGTTAACGTTCAAGCTACGAGTAGCGAACTCGACGCCGATGGTGGACTTGGACTCGAGGCTAAACTCGTTTCTGGTGAAACGAGAGAGAAGATTGGACTTTCCAACACCTGAATCGCCGATTAGAACCACCTTGAATAGGTAATCGTAATCATCATCTGCTTTGTAACCCGCCATTCAACACGAACTCTTTTTGGATTGAAATTAAAGTTCTCAGATTTTCCACAGAAAGACAGAGACTTTTGGAAGAAAACTAGGGTACGAAGACTTGTGTCTTTCTAGCTGGTCTCGACTTCACCAATCACTGTTATGATCTGTGTGGATAAATATAAGGAGTGAATTACCAAAATACCCGAATGTACTTATGTTATGTGACTTTTTACTCTCTGAAACTAGGGGTATATGCGACATTTTAAGGCTTAATGTTTTTCGTTTTCTTGAAAAAGTCATAAAGTGGTGGTAGTCATGTTTACATTGTAGTAAACGGCGATAATGACCAGCTATGGAAAATTTAACAGCGTCAAATGAGTTTTTACAATCTTTCATCATCTTACATACACATATATAACCAATATAATCTCTTTTACTTTGGAAAAAAAAATTGGCATTGCCAAAAAAATGTAACTTTGTAGAGACACTCACAGTCACAGATGATCTGATAAAAAGATGAAATATTTGTAGCTCTATGGAGTTTGTATTTGTCAAATTAATGTGAGATTGATGATTGATAAAAAGATGAAATGTTTATAGCTGTATGGACTTGGTATTGTAAGGAAACCCAATGGGTTGGAAGGTTGAATCCGTGAGTATTACAAAGCTCATATGACTTTCAAGTATGTTCTTACACAAATTAACTTGTTGGTGGGTGCGGTCACTAATAGTTACTGATCTTTTTTTTTTGCCTTGGGGATGTGACCGAGACTTGGAACATAACTCAAGAGACATGGCATAATACTATAATAAAAATCTCTATTTTCAATCTCATAGGCATGTTTATGCAAACCTTCTCCTAGAATGTAAACATACTTACCACCTTCTATGTCTCTGATACAAGAGACAACCACTTTATTCTCCTCGGCCACCCAAGAAGTCATCGCTTTCGGGTAAGGTGGTAACCTAGATGTATCAAACAGGGTGATCTTTGTAATGAGCGCTACACCTCAAAATTTTGTAGTCGTGGCAAGAAGATTTGCTGTTTCCATATCCAAAAGCATAGATATCACTGCTCCCGTAAACTTCTTTTGGTTTGATACTCCTGGTTTCACCGGTACAGGGGTTCCAAACGACAAGACTTTTGTAATCCTTCGTGCGGCATAATATCAAACCGTTGCATTGATGGATTCGAGATAACTCTACGTCTTTTGAATCTTTAAGATTGGTAAGTTTACCTGTAAACTCAATGGATGCATCGACGCTGTTGTGGACTCTGTTGACGCTGACTGAATAAACCCTATGGTCTATAAGTAACATCACCTCTTTCGATGCTTTACACAAGTTGTTCTTCTTCTTCATGAACTCTGGATCTTTGAACAAAGCGTACCATCGTTTACAAGTAGTTTGCAGTTTTGCTAGGGACTTGGACGGAACCCTAGAGAGTACTTCTGATTCCAAATCATGGGGAAGATCGGAAATCATAATAATCTTCCTCTGATTTCTTAAACCGCACGTCAGCTAGAAATTAGGGTTTTATTTTTAAATAAGCCGGACTGCTTTATTATTTATAAGCGATTCATAGGGCATCCAAGCGATCTTTTGTGATAAGCTTATTTTAGTCTTGCTTACAAAAGGCTATGGATTTTAAAAATGTCAATAATTCTAAAAATTTGATTGTTTCAAAATAAAATAGAAACAATATAAAATAAGTTAAATCAGATAATAAAAATCATTAAAAATATTTAAATTAATTTTCATACTTAAATATTTGAAAATTTAATATTAAAAACTAACCAAGAAAAATGGAAAAACATATAAAAATTTGTTTTAAATGATCAATGCTATATGAATTAAATACACATATGATTTTAAAAGTTGATACTATATAATACTGAAAATATTCATCTATAATTTAAAATATCAAGAATAAATATATCAATTTTTTTTTAAAATAATAATCAGTTTTGAAACAGTTATTCTTTCAAATAAGAGAAATAAACAAGGAAACACCAGTAACAATAACTTGAAATATATACCAACTTTATAAATAAAGATAAAATTTTCAAAATTAGATTTGATCTTTATACTAACTCATTGAAAAATCATCATTAAAGAGTTTGACAGAAAAAAATTGTGCACAACTTCCTTTACGATATATAGAAATCATGTGTTATTGAAAATGTTCAATAATAATTTAACACACTAACGAAAAATAGATAAATCAACATTATAATTTAACATCTTTTTTTTGTCATCAATTTAACATCTTTGAAATATAAAATATCTCCTTCATGTAAATAAACAAAGATAAATTATTAAATAGGAATTAATTTGATACACATGCTAATTATTTGAAAATTAACATTAAAACGATTTTGAAAATTATGCATGCTTTAAAATATGTCAAATTACACAAATATGATATATATCAAAATAAAATGGATAATTAATATACCAAAACAAGAGTTACACCACACAAATAAACAAAAGCTAGTTTTTTTTTGTCACAAATAATGACCATGTTCCAATGTTTCTTTTCTTTTTTGAAACAAAAGATAGCTTAATTATCCATTTACAATGTTTCTTCTTTTTTTGCCTTGGGGATGTGACCCAAACTTGGAAAATAACTCAGGAGACATGGCCAAATCCAAGATTCACCACAAATTTGTTTATGCAAACGTTCTCCTACAATGTAAACGTAATAACAATTGTTTCCGGCTCTAATACAAGAGACAACCACTTTATTCTCCTCGTCCACCCAAGACGTCATCACTCTCCCCCCGTTACATTGTAAGCTAGATGTATCAAAACTCACTTCTAAGAATTTGCTCCAAGACACCTCTTTGCCTTCATCGATCTTATCGCTCAACCATACATTTATCTCAGTCAAGGATGTTCCAATATTGTGATGTAACACCGCGAGCTTTTCTTCTCCAACTACCGATATAATCAAGTCTTCACTCTGATCCGGAAGAGGCAAACACACAAATACCTCCGTTGTGAAATTAAAGCTGAGTAGGACTCTGTGGCCAGCTACTTTATCGTAATGAATCCAGTAAGCATTTCCTTTCAACGACACAACATTTTGAGAGCAATGTATCCTCCATTTATCAGTGACACCATCAAGAACCCTCCATGAATCAGAGCTAAAGTCATAAATCTCACAATCATAAAAACGTTTCCCACGGTTTTTGCAATAATAATTGCTAAACCTCAAAATTTTGTAGTTGGGGCAAGAAGATTCGCTGTTTCCACATCCAAAAGCATAACTATCATTCCACAGGTCAAAACTCCTGGGTTTGACACACCTGGTTTCACCGGTACATGGGTTCCAAACCACAAGACTTTTGAAATCATCCGTGCAACATAATATCAATCCGTTGCAGTGAAAGATTCGAGATAACTCTACCTCTTCTGAATCTTCAAGACGGGTAAGTTTACCAGTAAAATCAATGGATGCATACTCAATGGACGCTGAACTGTGGAATCTGTTGACGCTGATCGAATAAACCTTGTAGCCTAGAAGTAGCATCACCTCGTTCGACGATTTACACAAGTTGTTGTTCTTCTTGACGAAATTTGGATCTTTGAATAAAGCGTACCATCGTTTGCAAGTAGTTTGCAGTTTTGCTAGAGACATGGATGGAACCCTAGCGAGTATTTCAGATTCCAAATCATAGGGTAGGTCGGATATCGTAGTAGTCATCTTCTCGTTAACCCAAAATAAAACTAGAAATGATATGGTTTTATTTTTCAACTAGCAGAATTGCTTTATTTCTGAGCGATAGGACATGCAAACTGTATCTTTTTGGGCAAAAGTAGATTTAAAAAAAAAATCTGGATGCTATTTAATATATAGTCAATTTAAAGTAAATTCTTTAGATTTTATGATCTAGTGTTATTTAATGATTGAGTTTAACATCATTTGCTTAAAATATAGAGTCATTGATTACTGTATTTAGAATAATTTGTTAAAAGATTTTGAAATCTAATCATATTTATTATTGTATTTATAATTTCTTCATTAGAGGAATTAAAAATTCATTGTTCTTCAATTGAATATATGAATACAACCTTGAAAATCTTGTGTTATTCATGTTTGGTAGATCTTTACACTCCATTTGACTTGAATGAGCTTAAATGAAATATGATCACTTTCCATGTGTAAGATACATCAATCAAAATCTCATATCTTATATGTAGATTTTGTAAACAGCTTTTATTAAATCAAAACAATTAATTTGAAAACATATCTGAGGTGAATTAAAAACCATCTAATGGACAAAAAATATGTATATAACAAATAGAATAAATCATATACTATCAAGTTTGCATATCACATTTTCTTATGATCAAACATAAAAAAAAAATGCAAGTTTTTCTAATAGCCATTTTTGAAATTTTTATCTTCAAAAGAGCTCCAAAGAAGGATAATGACTTAAAGAGGCCAAGACTCTACTACCTCATATTTTATAGATATATAAATATAAATAAAATATTAAAATTAAAAATATAAAAATTAAAAATATAAAAATCTATAGTGTTGAATTATATGTTTTTAAATTCGATATTTTTTTTCCTTTTCGGAATTATTTTTTTGGCAAATGTTTTTTAATTCGAAATTGCTTTTTGTAAGTATTTTAAAAAATTATATTTTGAAGATTTAAATTTATTTATTTAGAAAAATATTTAACTCTACCTCTTATCTCTAAATGATAAGTCTAGATAAGTTAACCATATGAATATAAGTGTATATTTAACTCTTTAATGAAATATTTTGGTCTTTTTGTTCTTGAAAGTTATATTTATGATACAATTTTTTTAGTGCTATCTTCGAACTTAGCCTATATTATTTTTTGTATCAACTTGATAAAATGAGGTCTAACTAAATTAGGCATAGATTAAATTCAAATTTCCAAACATTATTTTTTTTTAAGGCTATAACCAGGAATATTATGAATGAACGAAAAGAGAAAGAATAAGAATAAGATTTAAAAAATGATGAGAAATGATTATTTTTTATCAAATTTAATAGAAACTAAATTTATTTTATATTTCTCTACGGTTAAAGAAACGAGAAAGAATGAGAAAAAGAAAAAATATTCTTTATAAATGGTAAAATTTCTAAAGAATATTAAGGAATGCATTGTTCTTCTACATTCTTTAGTTAACATTCATATATTCATATGTATATGTAGATATGGATAACAATGTATTTGTTATAAAACCCTTACCAAGATATATCAGTTAGGTATATACAAGAAGTACTATAGCCACAGAAGAAATTATAAGGTTGATTCAAACTACAGTAAAACCTCTATAAATTAATAATGTTGGGACTTTGAAATTTTATTAATTTATAGAGATACTAGGTGATTTTTCCGTGCTCATGCACGGGCTTAAATATTTAAGAAATAAATATATTATAAAAATTGATTGATATTTACTATAAATTTTATATTAATTTATAGTTTGTATGTATATTTGTATTAATAATATTATATTATTTTAGTTATTATAATTTTATACATATTATATTTAGTCAGTTTTATCAGTTGGATATATATATATATATATGTTGGATTCTTTATATTTCTATGAATTCAACTATAATCTTTTTTATTCTAAATATCTTAAATTTTTGATTAATTATTTTATTTACATTTATGTTGGTTGTTATCTACGAAATATAATTATATCTTAGTAAGATTATGTATTTTAAGATTTTTTGTGCTTAGAACGAAAAAAATAAAAACTAAAGTGTCTGATTCTAAATTACATAAGTAATAATAAATTTTTGAAAGCTTATGAACACATATCAATATTTACAATAATTAAGATATTTTATAAATTCTAAATAATTTATGCCATAGATTGATTGGATGATAAACTGAAATTTTTTTAAAATAATTTTAAAAATAAAGAATTCTGATTTGCTTTAAATATTAGATTATGGTTATATTAAATTCCACAAACATAAAAACAGAAAATTAAACATCAAAAGAGTTATTAAGAAAACAGATAATTTTAACTATTAATTATAATATATCTACCTTGTTATATTATAGTGTTATGATATATTAAAAGAATTGTAGTTATTTGATCAAAAGATGTTTATTATTAAATTTTTTTTTAGTTTTGTTTTTAACATCTATTAAAATATACAGTAAAATGTGATTTTTTGAGAAATTATATTATATAAGTAAAATATAATTTATAATTTTTGCTGTAATTGTAAGATATTATAATCAAATAAATATACTAAAAAAATATTTCAATAATACTAATTATAATTTTTTGTCAATTAAACATATATTAGTTTAGGTTACTTAATTATTTTATGTAATCATCTAATAAAATAGATAGATATATCAAAATATAATTAATTTGAAAATATATATTTTATTGTTTAAATTATTTTTTAAAGAAAATATTTCTTTTCTAATATCAAGATTATTTGTATGAACTTTTTTAATGAAAACACATTATATACAAATATTTTTTTCATAAGATATAAATATAAAGTATTTTATTACTTAAAAGTATAATTTATGTTATTTAAAAATATATTTAAGTTAAATATTACTATTTTGTAAACTTTCCTTTTTTATGAAACCATATTATATATATATACTTATTTTTCGTTTTAAATAGTTTTGTAAGTTTTATAAATATTTCCTTTTTATTTTATATTGTTATTTGGAAGATTTTAAAAAGGAAATAATAATATTTAAATATAATTTTAATTCATAGGGGTATCATAGTAATCAACCAGCGTGAGAGTTAACGTGAGCGCGACACCTAAGAAAGTGACTTCTCAAATAATATTATAGAGATTAATTTATCAAAACTTTCCTTATTCAGTTTTTTTTTCTTCTATTTTTTCCATTTTTACTTATAAAGTCAAAAAATATTTGATTTTCGCAGAGATACATTATTTAAATTTTAGAAATTTGACTTTTATATATTTTTATCATCTTATTTGGTGTATATTCTTATGATTCATAGAATTGTTATCTGGTTTTCGATATAATTTAGCTATATATTATCAAAATATATTAGTATTTTTATTGTAATATAAAATTAACAATATAATGTTAGATTGTACTTATATAAAACTATATATACATAGATTATTAATTTATGCTTTTAATGAGACTATATATTTACATGGCATTTTTAAAAATATTATTATCTTATTATTTTATCGATTTGTGTCATATTTTACACCGGCCCAAGTTGGAACCGGTGAAATTTATTATTTTATAGAGATTATTAATTTATCGAGTATTAATTTATAGAGGTTCTACTGTATGTTAAATAAAATTTTACTATATATATCTATCGAATGGAATTCAATTTTATTATATCAAATGATATCATCTTGCTTTTACTAATACACTGACACAT